GGGGGAGGAGGGGCCGCTGCCCTGGATGCTCGAGGAAGACAGCCTGTCCTGGACGGTGTCTCTAAGGCGAGGGAGTGGGAAGGGAGAGAGGGCAGAGCAAAACCTGTCATGCTACTGGTGAGACTTCCTGATACCATGCTGTGGCTACGTTTATTTCAATCGCAAGCTATGGTATATGTTACACAGGGTTGGCTTCTATGTCTGTGTTTCATATTTTAAATAAAACGACAGGTCAACTGAGCACAAAAGCTTTTTACGTGTTTCCTGTTCATTTTTCCTACATCTAAAACCTGCCCTTGGAACTCGAGGTCCATAACCAAGACATCACCCCTCCTGGTGTGGTAGCATCTCCTAACTCCAGGCAAAGGCCCATGAGAAAATCGCTTCCCGAGTGCAGGACTGCCAGCTAAAGCATAAGGTGAAGGCTGCAAACCACGGTCCATGCCGGGGAATGATGAGAAAAGGAGGTTGTTGGGTGTGTGTGTATGGGTGTGAGTGTGTGCACGCACTGGGGGGGGGGGAGGCTGAGAGGCGGCAGGTTGGGAAGTGCACGGCGATTCCATGACTAAGCAACAGCCCTACAGGTCGGCATAAGACAACATATCAAATGCATGCTGTCTGAGAACCACTGGTTAGGCCGCTCTGTACGTTGAAGATTTTGGCAACAGCAAAGGTGGGGGGACAGTGAGACCAGCCAGGACACTGTCTCCGTCGTCTAAGCATGAGATGATTAAGGTTTGGACCTGACTATGCAAAGGAATCCACAAGAGACTACAGCCTGGGGTTTCTGACACTCCCTGGAGACCGACAGTGGGTAGGGGCTGGAAAGGAGACACATGTACAAAGCGTCTGTGATTGGAGCCTGGGGATAAGAATGCTCATTGTTCAGGTGAAATATCAAGGGGTGCTCTGACATCAGGGAAGAGGAGAATGGCCTACTTTTTACCGTGTTGGCAGCTTTGGTGTTGGGAGAACAGTGGGGGCAGGATGGAGGCGCTGCCCTCGGGGAGCCTGAGCTGCAGGATGGAGGGGAGGCCAGGGAGGTGTGGCTTCACCCATAGGGAGTCGGAGAGAGCAAAGGTAGGTGGGAAGGACAGAGATGGACAGAAGTGTAAGAAATCCAAAACTAGGGACTTCCCTGGCAGTCCAGTGGTTAAGAATCCGCCTTCCAATGCAGGGGACGCAGGTTCGATCCCTGGTCCGGGAACTAAGATCCCACATGCCGCGGGGCAACTAGGCCCGCGTGCCGCAACTGCTGAGCCCGTGTGCTCTGGAGCCTGGGTGCCACAACTAAAGAGAAGCCCATGCGCTGCAACAGAGATCCTGCGTGCCGCAACTAAGACCCAATGCAGCCAAAAAATTAATAAATAAAATAAATTAAATTAAAAAAAAAAAAAGAAATCCAAAACCAGGCCCAGAACCACCCAGCCTGGGCCTCAGACACGGCGCCGTGCTCCTCCAGCCTTCCCAGTGTCCGTCTGGCCACAGAGGCACTGCTTCCAGGCAGGCGAGCCTCACTCACCTAATTACTCTAACCAGGTCATGGAAGGCTCTGTCGACGTTGAGAGGTGGGTCCTTGGCACTGGTTTCTATGTACGGAATCTGGAAGGCAAAGCAGCGTTACGGAGTTCCTGTAACAGCGTTACAAAGTCCTGTTCCCTAAAAAGGCAAATTCTCAGAGGTCCCAAGGAACGCTGTGAAGCCCCCATGGAACCCAGGCTCCTACAACCTCAAGCCCTCAGTGGTTTCTCACTCTATAAAGTCGGAAACCTTTACTGACAGCTTTTCTGATTCTCTCGTGTTCTCTGGTCACAGAGATATTTAAGAGGCCCCTAAAGACAATAAAAATGATCTTTTTAGACACTTGAAGACTACAGACTGTTTCATTTATCAAACTGATATATGTTCTGATTCTATTCAGTTTTCTCTCTGAGGTCTATTTCTCTACCTTAGAGGATTCTGCCCCTCTTCTCAGGTCCTCCAGAGGGGACACCAGTGGGAAAGGCTGAAGCGAGGCTGGCCCTGGGCAGGACTCTGCACCCTGGCGACCCCGGTGGTCTATGCACCCCACCCCGACCTCAACCGTCTGCCTGGCCCAGCTCTTGCTTGGTTTGCATCTATGAGCCCAGAGCTCAACCATGTTTGCAGAAGGCTTGTGTCTGCATGTTTAGAGCTGAGGATCGTTACCCGGCTGGAAGGCAGCAGTAACTGTGAGATGTGGCTGAGGGGACCCTATAGGGCCATGTCTACTCCAAGCCTCGGACTCGCACAGGGAGGAAAACAAAGGCTCCATGAGGTCAGGACATGGTCTCCTCCTTTAATAGGGACCCCACAAAGTCAGGAGGCTCATGCCCACTCCCGCAACAAGTGGCGAGCGTGTGGGCTCCGGACAACACGCACAGGCCCCCTAGATGAGATGCAGGTGAGCCAATCATGATTAGAATGAAGAACTTTGGTATTTTTCGCAGCCTTCTCCTGATTACAAAATTAAGGCATTTCATTATAACACACTTGAAAAGGAAAAGCACGGCGAGGAAAATAAAAACGATCAACACTTTAAATGCATGGGGGTCCGGGGTGACAGGGTAAGTTGTTATCTTAGAGGAGCATGTCGTAAATGATTGCCCAGAACACATCATAAAGTATCTTCCCGTCAACGATCATCGCGGGAGATCAGATGTTCACACACTGCTGTGGCTTCAAGCAGGGGCTTGCCCTAGCTGACCCAGACACAAAGGGCAGAGTACAAAGGACATGGCTCAGACCTTGGAAATTTTCATTTGACAAATGTTTGAGCCTCTGATAACCCCGAGAGGAAACTGCCTTCCACTGTAGGCTGCTCACTGAGGTGACTGTGGGCTGTTTGGCCTCCCAGGTCTCAACGTCCCTGACCTCACTAATCCTCACGTTAACCCTCTGAGGTAAGCGGTTATCTCCGTTTCACAGCTGGGAGACTGAGCTCAGAGTGGTGACGTACTTGCCCAAGGCCACACGGTGGCCAGCAGAGAATCAAGATCTGGACCAAGTGCACATTGCACTTCCCACATGGCCTGGCACGGACAGGCAGAGGTGCTGAGGTCCGCTGCAGAGCCTCTGCTAGGCGTGGCAGGCACCCCAATAGCTCTTGGGAGCCAGAGTCCTGTGCAACCTTGTGAGGGCAGGACAGCATTCTTCCCTGTGCACACTCACCCAGCGGGGAAGCGGGAGGGCAGCTGGGGCTGGGAACTCCCCGGAGGCTCTTCACATCCTATAATCCTGCCAGCTCGGAAGTCCCAGGCTCCTGGGGCCTCAGACCTCCGCTGCCTGCTCACAGGCACACCGCTGTAGTACGCCCAGGTCTCCAGACGCCTCCGCTTTCTTTCTAGGGCTCCTGCTTCTGAAGAAACACTGATGTGCATTATCTAGGTTCTTAGAATTCTAGGGTGTTGTAGTAACAAGACTTAAACTAAGGGAAACCCTGCAATAAATGGTAGCACTATTTGACTCCACCGAAGGGCCAGGAAATGCCACCTTCCTGCATTGGATGGGGGCGACCTGCCTTGGTCAGCTAAAGAAGAACTTGCCTTATGAGCTCTGAAATTAGGACAGTAGCTCACAGGGTCATTTGGTCGAATGATAAATGAGGCAGCAGCCTTCGCTGTAGGAGCAACGCCAGCTGAGAGACTGGAGACCTGGGCTCTAGTGGGGATGGGTGGGTACTCCTCGCCAGCCGTGAAGCCCCCAGAATTCCCTCAGCCCCCTGTGTCTCATTCCCTTTTACCTGCAGAATGGGGCTGCTGCTACCGCCGTGCAGCGCCCTTCCCCCATCCCCAGCCAGCCACGCACCCACCCAGGGGTCTGTGAAGGCTCTTAGCAACAGCTCACTGTGTGGAGCCTGAGGCTGTGGGATGCAATGGCTCCTGGCCTCTCTCTGTGCAGGATGTTGGCCGGTGGAGGGCATGGGCACGCTACTGTCTGAGGCCTGCGTCTAATGCTAAACCCAGAGGTTAGTTCCAAGTGCTCACCTGGAGACTTCTGAGCACACCTGTCTTGGTTGATCACTTCCTCCTCCTCGAGGCATTTTCTTTCCTTGGCTCCCAAGGCCCCACTCTGGTCCTCACACATCACTGACCGCTCTGTCCCTTTTGCTGCATCCTCTCATTTCCCCATACCCACAGCACCGAAGTGTCCCCAGCCTCAAGCCTGGGACCCCTGCCCTAACTACACCCATTCCCCTGGGCTTCATGGCTTTTTTCTTTTTGTGTGTATATATCTCTATCTCTATCTCTATGTGTGTGTATACATAAATACATAATTATATATACACACAAAATTGAGGTAGCACTGACATACACTAGTTTCAGGTGTACAACGTAATGATTCAATATTTGTATATGTTGCAAAATGATCACCACAACGAGTCTAGTTACATCCATCATATATAGTTACAGAACTGTTTTTTCTTGTGATGAGAACTTTGAAGATTTACTCTGGTTTCATGGCTTTAGATTCTACCCACATGCTGCTGATTTCCAATATTTACCTCCAGATGGTGTATCTGACAGCGGTCTGGACACCTCCACTTGACTTCCCTTCAGCTCCTCAAACTAAGCACCTAAGACGAAGCTCCTGGTATTCCCCATGTCCTCGGTGCTCTAGTCCCCCTGCCGGGCTAGTGGAACTCCAGTCTTCTGAAAGTTCCTCGTGCCCCAAACCTTGGCATCCTCCTCAAATCCCTTCTCTGTCACCCCACATCCGGTCTGTGGAAAAATCCTGTCGGCTTTCAGAAAGACACCAGAATCCACCCGCTCCTTGCCACCTCCACGGGCACCACGCAGGTGCACGTCAGCCGGCACCTGGCTTACGGTGCAGCCCCCAAAGACCTTTCTCCACACGGGCGCCAGAGGGAAGCTGTTCAGCCATGAGTCGGGGCATGTCACTCCTCACTCAAAACCCTCCAGTGGGGCTTCCCTGGTGGCGCAGTGGTTGAGAATCTGCCTGCTAATGCAGGGGACATGGGTCCCGGCCCTGGTCTGGGAGGATCCCACATGCCGCGGAGCGACTGGGCCCGTGCGCCACAACTACTGAGCCTGCGTGTCTGGAGCCTGTGCTCCGCAACAAGAGAGGACGCGATAGTGAGAGGCCAGCGCACCGCGATGAAGAGTGGCCCCCACTTGTCACAACTAGAGAAAGCCCTCACACAGAAACGAAGGCCCAACACAGCAAAAATAAATTAATTAAGTAATAAACTCCTACCCCCAACATCTTTAAAAAAAAAAAACAACCCTCCAGTGGTTTCCCCTCCACTCTGAGCAAAAGCCCATAAGGCCTTAACCCCCCCACTCTGACCTCACTTCCTGCTACTCACCCCTCCTACTCCTGCGCTGGCAGCTCCGGCCTCCTTTCACCTCCTTGCTGTTCCTCAAACTCCCACCTCAGGGCCTTTGCACTGATTAATCCTCTGCTGGAACATTCTTTCCCCAGATATCCAGAGGACTCACTCCCTCACCTCCTGCCAGTCCTCACTGATATGCACCTTTCCAGTAAGGCTTTCCCTGACCACCTATGTGTAAAAGCAGCCCCCCACTCCACATTCCCTACCCCGTTCCCTGATTTACTTTCCCCCAGAGCACATGTCACCTTCTGACACGCTCTAATTTGCTGCCGTCTCTAGAAGCAAGCACGCTGAGGCAAGGAGTTTTGTTTGCCAGGGCCTAGGACTGTTGAATGAATACGTGAATAAACACAGAAGGCAGAGACAAGCAAAACGAACTCGCAGGGGCCCCTCCCTCTACTTACGGAGCTGGGCCCACAGGGCAGAGGGAAGGGCCAACCCTGCAGACTTTCCAGGAGGCTGGCTGAACTTCTACATAACTGACCACTGAGGCTGGGGCATGGCTGTGCTCATGCGGGGGGAGGGTTGGGAAGAAGCCCAGTGACCCCAGCATCCAGTGGGCAAAGGGGCATCACAGTGAAAAAAAAAAAAAAAAAAAAAAAAAAAGCAAGCCAAAGATGTCTGCTGACATGCGCTGTGTGGCCTGGGCAAACCTCGGTTTGATCACTTGATGAAGACAGTGGTGCCTACCTCAATGTGTGGTTGCCGGGAGTAGATGCTCCCCTAGCACAATGCCTGGCACAGAGCAGGGCTCAGTGAAGGTGGCTGATCTGACGATTCTGAACATAGTCAGGCACTGGCTCAGAGACAGAGACAAAGCCAAGCCTCTGCACAGCCCAGCGAGGAACCTGCTACGTCGGGGCCAGGAGGTGAAGGTACCTGCTCTCGACAGCAGGGCCTCTAATGACTGCCAAGAAGGTGCTTTCTCTCTGGCCTGTTGTCTTGTTTCACAAAATATCCCACATCACATGTGCCTCTATGTGGATCTAGCCCACTACCTAGGAGGCCTGTGTTCCATTCCAATAGACTAGGGCTGCAGGAGTGAAGGGGCACTGACATCCCCTGAGCCCTCACCCCGACACCCACGCACACGCGCGCACACGCACACACACGCACACACAGACACACGTGCACACGCACACACGCGCGCACACACACACCACCTACATTGTGTTTGGTGGCCATTTCTTTTCCTTGCTCCCTGGTGATTTTCCTCAAATGCATCAAATCGACCTTGTTGGCCACAAGGATCATCGGAAATGACTCCCTGGGAAAAAAAGGAACAGCAGCTCGTGAGCTTCCCTTGGTGAAGGCGGGGCACCCACGCCTCAGGCCTGACACAGCACACGGCACCTCCCTATGGGGCTGGGTTAACTTCACAGTCTTTCCCTCCACATCTCCTGGAATGGAAGAGAGACCCGGGGGCTGCTGGCTGCTTTGGCTTGAAGCCTCGGGCCTGTTGCAAGGTGAGCGGAGGCCCTCCTGGGAATCCCCTGGCTCTGCATGGATTGGGCCAGCGGCCAGGTTCCCAGACCTGCTTCCTCTCATCTCCCAGTCACCCTGACACACCACCCATGCGGGCCATCATGCTGTGGCCATCAGCAGTGACTTGTGAAGAGCACCAGGGCCAGGGGCTGGCACACAGCTGCCACTCAGTAAATGGCAGCTGCAAAATCAGGATGGCTCCCAAGAGTGGAAGGGGGGGATCAAGAGGCATGTCTGCCTTAAAGATTCCCGTGGACACATGGAGCCAAACTGCTGTCCCAAAGTGAATGAAATGCCAGTCTTTGTCAGCACTGAGTATTTTCATAAAGAAATTATAATTTGATGGGTGAAAAATGGTACTTTATCCTTCCTCCTTGCACTTCTTTGATTAGCAAGAAGGTTGAATATTTTCCTGTATCTGTGTCATGTATGTTTTCTCTTTAGAGATTCCTATAGTCAGGGGCTTAACCCACATTTGTCTCTTGGAGCTCCATTTGTATATGTGTGTGTGTGTGTGTGTGTGTGTGTGTGTGTGTGTGTGTGTGTGTGTGAGTGTATATCCCTTTACCTTGAAAAGTTATTAACACTTTGCCTCTGAGATAAGTGTTAACTGGATTTTTCAAATTTTGAAATTTTCGAAAATTTTGAATTTTCGAGATTTGTTCAAAGCTTGCTGTTTTCCTATTAGTTTGTCCTTTTACTTTTACATTGCCTTTTTAAGAGCCAATTAACTGAAAAGACCAGTTGGGCTTAAAACAGACTCCAAATTATTTAACTACGCCATATTATGCTAAGGAAAACGTGAGCCTTTAATAGGGGCTTAGAAATCTCACAATCAAATGTGATGTAACCAGTTACAATGTACGCCGCAGAGAAAATTCACTTTTTCTTTGACTGTAATAAAATTTGGTTACATTGGAGCTGAAAAACAGATGTTATTTATGATTCCTTGACTCATCGGTGGGGACAGTTTAGGAGAGATGGAGGGGGCCGACGCCTCGAGGCCTTGGCTGCGTGTAGACTCCTCTGGCTGTGTGGAAAGGTCTGAATTCAGCTCTGCCCCTCGAACCTCAGCTTTCACCTGAAGATCTGAGAAAGACAGACAGACAGACAGAGCCCACCCTGAGCCAGGCATGGGGAGGTCCCGGCCTGGCCGCCCTCACCTGTCCTTGACGCGCAGGATGAGCTGGTGGAAGCGGTCCACGTGCTCGAAGCTGGCCTTGTCCGTGACCGAGAAGACGATGAGGAAGCCGTCCCCCGTGCGCATGTACTGCTCCCGCATGGCGCTGAACTCCTCCTGTCCGGCTGTGTCCAGAACTGGGGTGGGATGAGGCTGCTCAGGGGCTGTCACCACCCACCCTGGAGCCTCTGGGGCCTGTGGACCCCCAGGCCACTGCTGCGGCCCCTGGGGTGGCTCCATTGAGCTGCCCCTGAGAGGTTCCAGGCTGTGCTTGGTAAGGGTCCAGCGGGGCCTCAGACACCTCAGTGTGCGGCTCTAACTGACTCACTTGTGGACCCACTGACTCCAGCCCACGGCGCTCCCTGGGCCTTAATTCTCTGCCTACAGAAAAGCCTCATAAAGCCAGGGATCAACTCTGACGCAAAATCCCTCTGGAGTCCCCAGACCTAGGCTTGGAGCCCTGCTGCAGCCCTTACAAGCTGATTCTTGGGAAAGTCACCTGACTCTCTGGGCCTCCATTTTCCCCTTTGTAAAATGGACACAATGGGGCTTCCCTGGTGGCACAGTGGTTCAGAATCCTCCTGCCCATGCAGGGGACATGCGTTCGAGCCCTGGTCTGGGAAGATCCCACATGCTGCGGAGCAACTAAGCCCGCGAACCACAACTACTGAGTCTGCGCTCTAGAGCCCGTGAGCCACAACTACTGAGCCTGCGCTCTAGAGCCCGAGCCACAACTACTAAGCCTGCGCTCTAGAGCCCGTGCTCCACAACAGGAGAAGCCACCGCAATGAGAAGCCTGTGCACCACAACCAAGAATAGCCCCTGCCCGCTGCAACTGGAGAAAGCCCGCGCGCAGCAACGAAGACCCAACACAGCCAAACATAAAAATAAATAAACTAAAAAAAAAAAAAAATGGACACAATGCCTCTACCTTGCAGCTCCTTTGGAGAAGAGCCCTGGACAAGCCTGAGGGAAGCCCCAAGAGGCCATCCCCGGGTCAGGAAGGGTCCTCAGTCCCTGTGCGGACAGACGCCAGGTAGGGCGAGGAGAAGCAGCAGCCCCCTGAGAGCCGGGGCCCTCGCCACCTAGGATGCTGCTGCTACAGAGTGGTGGGATGTGGGAGCTGAGGCAGCTGGGGAGACGGAGGCTGCGGGGGGAAACTCTCCGCAAAGGCTTCCCCCCAACCCATCCATCTCCTCCACTACCCGCACCACTATTCTTCAGAGATAAAATGCTCTCCCTGAGTGTTTCAGAGAGAGGTCACAGCCTCAGCAGCGTAGGGGTCCAGGGTGTCTCCCTTTAGACCTGCAAGCCTGGCCGGCTCCAGCCCTGTGGGCGTTGTGAAATCTGAACCCCTCAGCGGCCTGCAAGCCCCTGCCCCAGACCCACTTCCTGTCTCCTGCACGCAGCAGAGCGGCTGGTTACCGAAGCCGGGTTCGGGGCTGAGTCTGGCTCCTCATATCCCTAGAGAGTGACCCTGGGCAAGCTCACTTCTCTGTGCCTCCTCTTTCTAAAATGGGGCTCGTCGGGGCTGTTTTGAGTGAATGTACTCAGGCCCTTGGAGCAGTGCTGGCACAAAGAAGCCCTATAGGAGCGTCTGCTGTGAGCCTGTGTCCTCTCCCACCTCCGGGCCTGGGACTCCTTCCCCCAGCCACCCCCCCTCTCTGCTCCCCTAGCTTGGTGAGCAGGCTCTGACTCACAGAATTCTACTCCTGAGCCCCCATGACTCTCACCATGCCCATACAGACCCTTCATGACATTGTTCTCACTGCCCATGAAAAGGCCCCCAGCTGGACTGTCAGTTCCCAGGGGCAGGGACCTGGTTTGTGTGTCACTCATCTACTCAGAGCCTGGCACAAACAGTACTCAAATAGTAGTTGAATGAATAAATGAATGTGAAGTCTATTTGGTTTCATGCATCCATTCATTCATTCAGGAAATATTTGAGAGCCTACTGTGTGTCAGGCAGTGTTCTAGGCACTATGGATACAGGGGGAATGGGGCAAAATCCTTGCTCCCATAGGACTTACATATACTCTAATAGGAAGGCAGATAAATGAATGGATAATATTATATCTAGTAAAGATGAGTACATACTATGAAGAACAATGGCACCAGTTGAAGGAGACTGGAAGAAGTTGGTGTCATTTTGGATAGGGAAGGATGGCGTCCCTAGGAGAAGCTTTTTTTTTTTCTGCGGTACGCGGGCCTCTCACTGTTGTGGCCTCTCCCGTTGAGGAGCACAGGCTCCGGACGCGCAGGCTCAGCGGCCGTGGCTCACGGGCCCAGCCACTCCGCGGCACGTGGGATCCTCCCGGACCGGGGCGCGAACCCGTGTCCCCTGCATCGGCAGGCGGACCCTCAATCACTGCGCCACCATGGAAGCCCTAGGAGAAGCTTTTGAACAGTGACTAAATGATGGGGGAGGGGGAGCCACGTGGCCGAGGGCAAGAGCATTCCCAGCAGAGGGAACACAGTGCGTGGAGGTGTGCAAGGGCAGGCCCGCTGGCCTGGGGAAGCAGAGGGACTGGTGAGTGTAGGATAGGAGGTGGGGGCAGGTGATGAGGGGCTGGGCTGCTGCACCGGGGTAAGGCTGACTTCATTCTAAGCAAGAAACGGACCACTGCAGAGACTGGGCCAACGAGCGAAATGATCTATAGGACATTTGAAAAGTTTACCCTGGCTGTTGGGAAAACCCAGACCAAGAGTAGAAGCAGAGGCACTAGGTAGGAGGTTATGCCATAACCAGCAGGACAGGATGGAGGGCTGGACCAACGGTGGGATGGGGTGGACACTGTGAGAAGTGACCAGGTTTAGGCCACTTTCTAAGACAGAGCCAACAGGAGTGGAGCGTTCTGGGTGGAAATATGCAGATGTGGGAGTGGGAGAGAAGAGTGCTGAGGACAGTGGCTGTCTGGGGCCTGAGCCAAGTGAATGGTGGCGTCATATCCCAAGGTGGGGAAGACGGTGAAGAAGAGGGTTGGGAGGGCTGAGTTTTTTTTGTTTTTTCTTTTGCGGTGCGCGGGCCTCTCACCGCTGTGGCCCCTCCCGCTGCGGAGCACAGGCTCCGGATGCGCAGGCTCAGCGGCCATGGCTCACGGGCCCAGCCGCTCCGCAGCATGTGGGATCCTCCCGGACCGGGGCACGAACCCGTGTCCCCTGCATCGGCAGGCGGACTCTCAACCACTGCGCCACCAGGGAAGCCCAGGGCTGAGTTTTTGACACACACTTCAGAACCTCTCAGACACCTATGTGGGTTTCAAATAGGCATTTGCAGACTTCAGTCAGAAACTTAGAAGAGGGGCAAGAGATACAGATGTAGGATATATCCATCTACATGTGTGTGGATGGCAAGGAAAGCCACAGGACGGGCTATCCAGGACCCCCGGGAAGCCACGTCTCCTCAGGAGACATCTTGAGCCCGTGCCTGAGAAAGTGACCTTGTCCCCACAGCCTGTCGCCCCTGCACATCCTCCTGAGTCACTCAGCATGGCCGAGGGGCAAGGCTCGGCAGACACACGGACCCAGGCTGTGCCCCACGCACAACAGCCTCGGTCTCCTCATGGACGAAAGGCGGGGCAGGGCTCCTGGGTCTTCAGGATTGAATTCTGATATCCTAGAATTCTTTGGTCTGGATATCAAATGAGGGGGCTAAGAAAATAAGATCTACAGCTGAGGACCAGTGGGGTGACTGAGGCACTTTCCCCAGTTTCCTAGGGAGGGGGTGGGGAATGAAGACTGCACCTTCACCCAGAGGGAATGGAGCCTTTGGTCCTAAGTAAATGCCACTCAGAAATGCAATCAAGAAAACAGATGAAAATGCCATGGATTTGGCTGAAGTGGGGATGGGGAGGCCTGAACTGAATAGCAAAAGACATTCAGGTAATATTGTACTTAATATGCTCACAGATTCTGAGAGTCTATATTATCCAAAACAAAAACTAGAGGTCTAAGATATTTAAAAATCTGATCATCCAGAACTTAAAAAAAACGATTCAACAGGGAGTTGGAAATCAAAATGGACCCTCTAGAATGGAGAAAAAGTCATTTCAGACATTGATGGCCTTAGAAATTACATTACCCACAGTTTCTAAGAGAATTCTTGGAGGATATACACCAGCAAAGTGAAAAATAGATCCACGAAAGAGAAAGATGAGTGGTATTATAAACAATGGTACCAATGGTATGCAAAGGAAACAGCAAAACCTAAGAGTTAAATTTAAATAAATATAACACAACTTGGAGAAAATGAATGGTAATTTAGAACTAAAATCTATGCCGATCTATATGTGAGGGTATGGGCTGGGAAAAAGTAAGTCATTACTAAAGTGCTTGCCTTATCTGGGAACAGTTTAAAGATATTGATTACATCCAGATGTTGACAGAAAAACATAAGTATATACACACATATGTACATAGAATAACTACCTGAAATAAAACTCAAACCTTCCTAATCATTAGAGGAAAGAAAAACAGGACTAAGTAAACGGGACCAATCCAATGAAACTATACAAAAATAAGAAAGTTTAAAAAGTAGACATGAGGGCTTCCCTGGTGGCGCAGTCGTTGAGAGTCCGCCTGCCGATGCGGGGGACACGGGTTCGTGCCCCGGTCCGGGAAGATCCCACATGCCGTGGAGCGGCTGGGCCTGTGAGCCATGGCTGCTGAGCCTGCGCATCCGGAGCCTGTGCTCCGCAACAGGAGAGGCCACAGCAGTGAGTGGCCCACGTCCCGAAAAAAAAAAAAGTAGACATGAAATAAGATGGCAGAAATAAATCTATGATGAATGACAGTAAATGTAAATGGGTTAAATTCACCCATTAAAAGCAGATACTCAGTACAAAATCTACTTGTCTGCTACTATAAAAGACACGTATAAAACAAAATGACACAGAAGGAGTGAAAAATGAAAAGATAAAAAAGGATATGCTAGCCACATGCATCCACAAAACAGAATTCAAGGCTAAGGAATTAAACAGAACAAACCAGGGTATTTATAATAGGAAAAAGTACAGCATCAAGAAATGCCAAAGTCATGAGTCATAAGCATATAAGAATGTTGCCTAATATATATATATATATATATATATATATATATATGTATGTATGTATAAAAAACTAATTTTTTAAAACAGTA